ATGTCTCAGGGATTTGTTTCACTCGGTGACTCTAGCGAAATAAAACCTGTTCAGATTTTGAGAGATACTGGTGCTGCACAGACGTTATTGTTAGAGGGCGTGCTTCCTTTGTCTGAGCAGACTTCTACTGGTGGGTCAGTTTTATTACAGGGTGTGGAGCTAGGCGTCATTGATGTTCCCCTGCACAGAATTAGTTTGAAGTCAGATTTAGTTACTGGACCTGTTATCGTAGGTGTTCGACCTACTCTTCCCGTTCCAGGCATTTCTTTGTTGTCAGGCAACGATTTAGCCGGTGGGAAGGTTGTACCTGATCCTATAGTTTGTGAGAAAATCACTTCCAATGTCATGTGCGATGATGAAGATGATGACATTTATCCAGCCTGTGCTGTTACTAGAGCGATGGCCAGAAGACGAGAAATGGAGGCAGACCATACTCAAGCCTTTGACGAGACGAATTCCTCTGTTGATATTGATTTGAATGACACTTTCTTATCTGACCTTGATGGCACTCAAACAAGCATGGAACCACACAATATGAAGAAGAAAGAGAAGAAAGAACTTTTACCAAAATTTGGTGGTGAGGATGATGAGTTGCATCCACTAGTTAGCCAAGGCAAGGACATCCTCAGCCGAGAACGTTTACTCTCTGAACAACATAAAGACCCAGATATCATTCAACTTAGTAAGAGGGCACTTCCACCAGAAGAGGCTACTAAAGTTGGAGAATGCTTCTATATGAAAGATGGCATCCTTATGCGAAAATGGCGACCACCTGACGCTTCTCCAGATGAAGTGTGGCGTGTTGTTCACCAGATAGTGGTCCCAGCTGCTTATCGTCGAGATGTCATGAGTTTAGCTCACGATACACCTATGGCTGGTCATTTAGGTATCAATAAGACTTATAACAGGATTTTGAGTCATTTTTATTGGCCTAAGCTAAGGAAGGATGTTTCTGAGTTTTGTAAGTCGTTTCATGTCTGTCAGATGGTAGGTAAACCGAATCAGAAGATACCATCCGCCCCTCTCCAACCAATTCCAGCTTTTGAAGAACCGTTTAGTCGAGTGTTGGTGGATTGTGTAGGACCTTTGCCTAGGACCAGATCTGGAAACCAGTATTTACTTACCATTATGTGTACATCCACTCGGTTTCCTGAAGCCATACCTCTTAGGAATATAAAGGCAAAGAGCATAGTTAAGGCCCTAACCAAGTTCTTCAGTTTTGTAGGAGCACCCAAGGCAATTCAGTCGGATCAAGGCTCAAATTTTATGTCGGGGTTGTTCCAGCAAGTCATGCATGAGTTGGGTATTAGGCAGTATCGATCAACTGCTTATCATCCTGAGTCCCAGGGAGCGCTAGAACGTTTTCATCAAACCCTAAAAACAATGCTGAAGACCTATTGTTACCAGTATGAGAAAGACTGGGATGAAGGGGTTCATCTTGTACTATTTGCTGCACGAGAAGCAGTCCAGGAGTCTCTTGGGTTCAGTCCTTTTGAATTGGTGTTCGGTCATACAGTTAGAGGTCCTTTGAAATTGTTGAAGGAAAAGTGGCTGACTGAGACTAGTGATCTTAATCTTTTAGATTATGTGTCTGATTTCAAAGAAAAACTTTACAATGCTTGTAAATTAGCACAAGAAAATTTGAAGAGTTCTCAGATGAAAATGAAAATGTGGTATGACAAAGATGCCAGAAATAGGGTGTTTAAGCCAGGTGATAAGGTTCTTTTATTTTTACCTATTCCTGGTCATCCTTTACAGGCCAGATTTTATGGCCCTTATGAAATTGAAAGCAAGATCAGTGATGTAAACTATGTAGTTAAGACACCAGGTCGACGTAAAGAGAAACGGGTTTGTCACATTAACATGTTAAAAGAGTATTTTGAAAGGTGTGACCGAAATTCTGTAAAACCAGTTTCCACTTTAGCCAATGCTAAGACTGTTCAAAATTGTATTGAAAGTGATACGAGTAAAGAAATGAATGAGAAAGATTGTAATCAGAGTGTCCGCTTGAAAAACACAGAAATTTTGGTTGATTTTGATCCAAACTTGGACATTTGAACATTCACCAAAAAGAACAAGTTAAAAACTTGATGAATGAGTATCATCAAATCTTCTCGGATGTTCCAAAGAAAACTAATGCAGCTTGTCATGATGTCATAGTGAGTGACGTTCTGCCTATCAAACAACATCCGTACCGTCTGAATCCAATAAAATTGCAGTACCTAAGAAGGGAAGTGCAGTACATGTTGGACAATGACATTGTTGAAACTAGTAAAAGTGATTGGAGCTCACCGTGTATTCTTGTACCAAAACAGGACGGTTCGTACCGATTATGTACAGACTTTAGAAAGGTGAATTCTGTTACCAAAATTGATTCATATCCAATACCTAGAATCGATGACTGCATTGACAACATGGGAAATTTGTCAGTAAATTTGACCTGTTGAAAGGCTACTGGCAAGTACCGTTAACAGAAAGAGCAAAAGAAATATCTGCTTTTGCTACACCAGATGGACTTTACCAGTATAAAGTAATGCCTTTTGATTCACTCCCTTCTTCAAGACCTTGAGGGATGCGAGGCCTACATTGATGATGTCGTCATATACAGCAAAACATGGGACGAACATCTCCGAATCATGCGTGCTTTATTTGACATTTTAGCTAAAGCAAACTTAACTGTAAATCTTGAGAAGAGCGAATTTTGTCATGCTTATGTAGAGTATTTAGGTCATAAAGTAGGTCAAGGTTATGTTACACCCATTATGGCTAAAGTGGAAGCTATTGCAAAGTTCCCGATTCCTAAAAACAAGAAAGAGTTAATGAGGTTTTTGGGCATGGCTGGGTTTTACAGAAAATTTTGTCCAAATTTTTCCTCAGTAGTTAGTCCACTTACAAATCTTTTGCAGAAGAGGGTTAAGTTTGAATGGACAAAGGACTGTGAAAAATCCTTTCATAAAATCAAATCTGTCCTTATGAGCAACCCAGTTCTGTCAACTCCAGATTTTTCTAAGCAATTTAAGCTTACTGTTGATGCTAGTGATGTTGGAATCGGGGCAGCTTTGTTTCAAGAACATAGTGATAATGTAGATAGAGTTGTTTCTTATTTTTCAAAGAAACTTACAAAATGTCAACAAAAGTATTCCACCATTGAAAAGGAATGCCTTGCTTTGTTGTTAGCCTTACAGCATTTTGATGTTTATCTGAATGTTACATTGCATCCAATTCTTGTGTATACTGATCACAACCCCCTGACATTTTTGCATAAATTGTCAAACAAAAATCAAAGACTGACTAGATGGAGTTTGTTGTTACAAGAATACAACATAACAATTAAGCATATCAAAGGCAAAGACAATGTTATTGCAGATGCCCTGTCCAGAGTGTCGTGAACAAATTAGATTTTGTATTAATGTACCTATGTTTTAATAATATAAGTTTTCATTGACATTCAAACTTTTTAAGGGGGGAGGTGTTGTTAGATGTGTATTGTTTCATCTTGTATATTATTAGTAACATTAAGTTTCTTGAGCATTCCAGAGTGGTCAATATGTTTGGTCATTTTTTCTAGAACATTCTTGAACTTTGTTTATGTCTAGAACTTTCCAGGAATATCATGTATTTACAATTTCTAGAATATTCTAGATTTATAATACTGTATAAATACCCTGTCAATTCGATGCATAAAGAATTGTCGTATAAGCATCATTGAGGTATTACTGGGATATAATTTCACTGGGACATTGTGTGCAGCAACGGACACTCTGATGTATGTATTTTTAGATTTTTGCTAAGTTTGTACTTAATGATTTGTATATTACTGTAAATAAATTATTGTTAAGTTTAAACTGTGTGATTGATCTTTGCTGGCATTTAGGGTTATTCTGACCCATAACACCATTAGATGTTAATGAACTAATATTTAAATTGAATATGAAGATAACGAACAGTAATCAATCTCACGTCCATGAAAACAATACAAACAAAAGAACAAGAACTTGTGAAAACATCCCATTTGAGATCAGGCGCCATGGAGGGGTAAGCATGTCGACCGGTCAAATGCGCCGTGTGCTCCTTGACATGATCTGAAAATTGAGCTAAAAGGTCTACAGATATATCAAAAAAATAAAACAGATGTGTCAGTCTTTTAGGTATATTTTTTTTAATTCTTTGATAACTATCATACTTGTACATAATAGGATACACATGAAATGCAAGGTATTGAATATATCTCTTGTATTTATGTGAATGCAGAAAACAAATGACGCAATGTAGACATGAAAAAATACCTATGAATTTCCCTTAGTCTGAAAACATCAATTCCGTATATGGTTAAAAAAAAACTAACGCATAGAGACCATTTTTTGTCATCTTGTAAAAGTTGCAATTTGTAAACGGGACAATAACGTGGCTTATAGAAACAATAAAGATGGGATCAACTTCCTGTAAACCGGCATAACGTCGTTAGAATAAAACATACGGGATAAAAATGAGGTGTTTTTGTTTATATGGTGTTTATAAGCATCATAGAAATTCGGAAAAGCTGACTCTTGTAATTCCTGTAAAATAAATTTATTTGTCTGTTGTATGCCTCTAACTACATACTGAATGTACTCGAAGTATGCTCTTCTGTATCGAATCATTTTGAAGACATAAATACCATATGGTGATTGTGGAAAAATACTAAATAAATAAAGGACACTTACGATTGAAAAGCTGTTGGAATCATGTTTGTCATAAAGTTTTGTTTTTAGTCTGTGATTACCGTATATAACATAAATTAACCGTCATTTATGCCCATTGTTTTTTAATCGTTAAAAAGATTTTAGTTTTTTTATACATTATTTTTACTTTAAAATATTTCATGTTATATTACAGAGTGTAGTCAGAGTGTACCAAAGGAAATCATTGGAAACTTTAATGCTTTTTTATTTTTATGCCACGAATTGCTTTAATCATGTTAATTTTGTGTAAATTTATTATTTTCATATTACATTGGACAGGTCGTTTTGAATACAGAAGAAAAGAAACAAAAATTACTGGAAGAGTTAAAAGAGCGAATCGGAAAGAAGACTGGTGCACCATTGACTGTGGCTGTTATTGGGACACCTGGGTCTGGAAAATCCTCCTTCATTAACACCATGATAACTAGCATAACTGGAAACTACCGAAAATGGAGAAGAACAGCAGATTTTGGGGGACTACCAGTTACACAAAGCGGGAATCGGTAAAGCGTGAAGGGAAATACTTTTCTTTTATGAAACATATGAAGATAACGAATAATAAATTCCTACATTACAGATGAGTTATTAATTTTGAGAAAAGGGGTTATAGGATGTTTTTTTCTAATATATTAGGATATCAAGGGAGAAATACTTATATTCTGCCGACAAATCACTTCGGGAGTATGATTTTCCAGACTTTGTTGAAATAGCCGGGTTTCAGAATACAAATGATGAAATGACATATGAGCTGCTTGACCTTTTATTTTATGGAAGAATTCCGTCCAATGTCCATCTTGCTAATGTAGCAGGGGAAATCAGGTTATTACTGTGTATCTGTGCTTTTTTTTGTTTCTTTGAATTTTTTACGGTAAAATCTTGAAATAATTATAATCAAGTTATAAAAAATAATTATTCTTACATTTTTAACATAAGACGACACGGAAAATGGTTTACGGATAAGATGTATCCCGAAACACCAGAATGCAAAAAGTTCGACAGAGTTATTTTTGTTGCTTCAGCTGCAGATCGAAATTTACCAGTACAACTTATGCAGGCGGTATCAAGAGTACTCTACAAAAAAAGAGGTGTGAATTTAAAAAAAAAACAACAATAAAAACCCCAACATAATGCGTAAGATATTGTAAAGTACATGTATTAAGATAACCGATTTTTCATGATCGGTTAAATGTATAAATCCATAAACAATTGATCGATCTGAAAATATTGTCTGAAATTTTGAATTTAGCTCATCATTACTCAGCAACCCTTATGGGTTTTTTCACAGAATCCTTCACGTTTTTGAAAGTTGGATATAACAAAAATGATCAAATTTATAAGTCCAGTATACGCGTATAAAACGAATTGTGAAAATACATTCATATTAGGATGTTCTACTGAAATGCTTATGTCAAACTCATTACTATATTGTATGCCAAATGAATGCTTTCAGTTTCTTCATTATTAAACAATTATAACTAATTTATTCAATGGCTGTGAGTGCGATAACTCTTTCCCGAGGGGTATTGTCCCTGTTCATGGTTTGATAAAGAGCTACCCCTAGCGTTTTCAAGAGTTGATTTTTCCCCATAATTTGTATTTTCAAGATTTTCAACATTTACAAGAAAAATAAATGTTTATTAGTTCATGTTTCCTAAATAATAGTTAAATGATGATACATGTACATGAACATATTGACTTACACATTTGTTTTATTACCTTGCTTATTCAGATATCCCAGTATTTGGTGTCTTTACAAAAAAAGATCTGGAAGTACAGGAAAGAGAATCCGAAGACTTTGAAAAGTTATTTAGAACAACTCTTGGATTGTCTCAACTGGACTATCTTCACTGCACAAACTACTGCGATGACAACATAAAAGAAATAAGAGAGAGAAATATGACACATTATCCGGAATTAGACATCCCGGTGCTAAAGTTCCTTATACAGGTAAATAATCTTAAAATTAATTGGAAGAGTTTTGATATGCTTAAATTTCTATTTCTAAAATTTTGTGTAGTGAATTCAAGTTAAATCAGGTAAACATCAGAGAGTCTAATGCATATTATTACACATTATTTTTATTATCACTCATCTTATGATCTGAACGACAGTCTATAGTCCTTAATTTTTACGTGTAATTCGAAAAATGAATTTTTTTGGTAAATTGTAGCATAAGTATCTTCAAAAAGTATGGCAATGAAAATAGTAATAAAACACAAAAATAAATCCCAAAAGAACAAAAGAAAATAACGAAAATGTTGCTTTTATGCGTATTTTTTGGATTACAGAAACCGACGTTTACCTTTTTATAAGTTTAAAATTCTGGCATTTTGTTTATGATACAATATTTTTATAGGTCTTGGACCCCATTGCTGAGTGTACTGATCTTCAGAGAAATATTGGAATTTCAAAGAAAAGTCTAGAGTGGAAAGAAATCTGCAATACGCTGGATTCGTTTTTAATGATTATTTTAACTACTCTCATCGCCATTATTCTTGCTCTGATATTATACTTCTGAAAGGTTTCTGGACATTCCCGTCTCTTTGAAGTAAAATCAAATTTTACTTCAAAAATTACGCCTTACGATAATGTACTGAAGTCATCTTTGTTTTCTGATTTTATTTAAATTAAGTATTTTGTTTTTAATAATGAGTTGTGCATATGAAACATAATCCTACATCGAGTTTATTTTCGTCTTCACAATATATCAATAGTCCTGCTGGACACGTTATTCCAGGAAACGTAAATATACGAAGATTTTTCTGTGAATTCCCGATCATGACAAGGAGCACACGGCGGGTGTGACTGGTCAGCAGGTGATGCCCACTCCTCCATGGCACCTGACCCACCTCTGATGTTTCGGAAAACCTGCTAACACGACTTATAATGGATCAGATATATCAAGGATGAAATAAAATATATGATTTAGTTCTAACTTACTCTCTCGCCAAGTGGGTTGCTACAACCGAACCAGAGGGTTTCTGATATTTAATAGATAAATAAGAAAATTAAAAGTAAAGATTATTTCTTGGAAAAAAAATCAAAGCAGAAAAAAATAAGCCTTTATCTGCATTTAAGAAATAATATTGGTGGTAAACATATTTATCTTAAAATACAAGTGTTTCACATGTTGACGAAAAGAATACAAGACGAAAGATTCAAAGAAAGGCATCATATTCCCTTTATAGAAAGAGTTATATATTCCTCAGTAATAATATGCCTAGTATATGATTCCAAAATTAATACAGTAGGCCTATAAAAAAAGATGCCAGAAAATATGGGAAAAAAAGTGGAACTATAGATATTTCAAATAATAAAAGTTCTTTTTGCTTGTCTACTGAATTCCTAAAGTAAAACCTTTCTATAAAGCCATTTTACTATATAAATATTGCATGTAGTTGAGTGTAACATCAATGTTTATAATGTTTAATACAAATACTCTTAAATATTACAATGAACCTTGTACGGATAAATTCTGCTCAGTCACCATTTCTTTGAATATGACCCGTCCTCAAGCAATGGTGACATGCAAGTTACTTATTTTATCAGAAAATATCATTCAAATGTGAGTAATCTACTTATTAACGCCTGTATCTGACATTTTGGATGCAATATGCAAGATAATTATGCAGACATGCGACTTATTTATGTCAAAATGTAAAAGAAAATGTGTAAGAAGATTTTCTACATAATTATCTTTGCATGTTGGCATAATTTTCTTGCATGTTAACAGAATTTTTCTTGCACGTTGGGGGGCAGAAATATGCTAATATTTCCATGACTGTTTTATCGCTGTTTTCATTTATTGTGCATTGATTTATCATTTTACACCAGACAC